TTACATAAAGTCTTTTTCAGAGAATAGATTTCCTTATTCTTAAGCATTCTGTCATGTAACACAATCACTTTCCAGGTAGTTGTTTAGTTGTCACGTGGTTGACCTTCTATGCAAATATTTATATACATTATCAAGAATTGTTAACAGTGTTTACCTATATAGGCTTAATATTTCAATCAGAACTATCTAAAGACAAACACAATATCCAGCATCAATGAATACAAAACAAGCATTTTCTGCCGATTGATACGGACTAAAGTAGCTTAGACAAAACGAATACGGAATAAAAACTGCTTAATCAAAACTAATACGGAATAAAAAAAGGTTTGATTCCAAAACTAATACAGATTAAAATAGCTTAATCAAAACTAATACGGAATAAAAATAGATTAATAAAAAGTAATACGATTAAAATAGTTGAATAGAACATAATACGGAATAAAAGAATTTATATAAAAATATGCAAAATAAAAATAATTGTAACTTAATCAAAACAAATATGTAATGTGACCATACACAAACAATGCCGATATGTAATTATTGCAAAAACATCAAGCAGACAAAACATTTATGACAGTTTAGGAAAATAACAATTATCATTATTTTTCCCAAAGTTTTATCGTTTGACTAGAATGGATTGATGAAAGTTGTTTTAAGTGTTAATAAAAATGATTTACTATTGACAAGGTCTGTTTCATTTAAATTGGTAGTAACATGACTAGTTTTTCTGATCTTAATATAATAAATTACCTTGATTGCATTTGCATAACTATTTTTTTTTTTGTTTTGGTCTCATTTCTTCTTCAGAATTATTGCAAACTAAGAAGGTCATTAGCCGCATCGCCAATGCATTAATTAACAAAATTGTCTTAAGATGACTGCACTTCAGTTTGTCTATTCAAAATTATTATATATCGCACAGCGCTTTTCAATGGTATTGTGATTTCGTGTTAACAGCAAAACACAATGGCGCGCGTGTTAATTCCTTAATGAGGTGCAATTTACTTAAGATATGTTTCTTCTTCACAATTACAGTGTATCAGGGGAGAAGATGTCCCTGTATAGTTAAGAGGGAAAATCATATACTTTTCTAAACAGTCATCCCTAATATGTCTGATACTTCATTACGGGATTGATTAGCACATCTGGACACAATATACAGTAAGTACAGATATATAGTTAGGGAAAGAGAAAAAGATTTACCAGCTTCCTTCTTAAGCTTATGGTAGAAATTTTTTTGGACACCACTCCATACCAAAAAAGAGACAGCCTCATAAATATTCCAGTACTTAATTATCATCATTATTCTTTACCCTGATTTAATATATGATACAAATACAAATGCTTGAGCAATTTATTTTTGGAAACTCTTCATGTAAGACTCGCAGAACATTTGCATCAATGTCTGAAATTGAATAAGGAACACATGATTCATTCAATTAGAATAATGTTTGAGATTAATTTGTAGTTAAACAAAATGTAAACATATGTTTTGCCAACCGTATAGGTCAAAGCTAAAAATTGTGTAAGCTTGTTTTGATTGGCTCTCGCATAAATGCAAACCTTTAATTAATTAAACGTTGATACTTATCTGCGTCTTAAAGAATTGCGTTTTAATAACAAGTTTTACTAAGATTTTGAAGTTAAAATAATTGATTGGTCATTTGCTTTTAATAAATTCTATGACGGTTATATTTTTTTAAAATAGAATTTAAATTGTAGATCTACTGACATCTTTTATATATAAAATGGATTCATTGATAGAAAAAAAAATCTTAATGAATATAAGTGTTTGATTTTTTTTGATAAATAGAAAGGCAGTATTTAAATAACACTTTACTTTGGAAAACTATTATTCAGACGAGTAAACTGATAGAGTGTTTGAAATTATTTTAATCAACTGGTATATGTGCTGTTATTTTGTAAATGATTACGGAATTCTTTTTGAAAGACCGTGTAAACACTAATCTATACACCCCTCCGAGGCCCACCCCAAACACATACATTTTTCTTAATTCCTGTCTTAATTATCATCTAAATATTTAAAATTTACAATTTTTGTCACATGAACATGATGCTGGCCAAACATTCAAACATGCGCAATTTTGGCCTTGTTTTCCTTTGTTTTTTTTTGTCAGGATCTTCCATCCATATGTCAGCCCCCAAGAAAACCCTCTCTGCACTTAGAGGAAAGGTGAAATGTGCATATAAATTGAGTGGGTGGTTTCTCATACTTCTAAAAATGCATTTTCCATATAATATATTTATAAAGATACAATAAAGTTATAGGATTAGGTTGATTTCTAACAAAATCCGTAACACACATAAAAATTCATGTTTTTACACAACTTCTCATGTATTTTTCAGGTTTTAAGGACGTTATAAATGCTGGTCTTTTATTTTTTTTCAATTTTCTTTAGTTTCTGATGCATGTTTAGAATTAAGTACGCGATTCTACATTTTCAGCAACGATGCTCGAATTTAGATATGGGCGTCGGGATGATGGCGGTGGTGGTGTGTGTAGGGGGGTGTGTGAAGCCCCGCCTACATTGTAAATTAAAGATATACACGATTGCAAGGTATCCGGTGGTTGAACTGTCCGCTGGTGAACTAATATTGGCGAGTATGAAGGTGCTTTACTCCAACTCAGAAACTCGCTAAAGTATGTAATCAGGCAGTCAAGCGGCCATTCAAAAAACGATATTATTCTTCAGCTTCAAATCTTAAGCCGGATGACAAATGATGTTTGTAGCAAAGATGATCAAAGCGAGGAAATAAAAATCACAACAGCTATCAATGAAACATTTCACAATCTTTACAATAATACTGGACGTCAAGGGGCTAGACAATTTTTGTCGTGCTTTCAAATGGAAAATATGAAGAAACGAGCTTTATAAGAGAAGAAATGGCTAAAATTTATGACAAAGTTGATATTAAAGTTTTTGTAGTTGGTGTAGGACCTGATAATAATATGGATGGTCAACTGTCTTTGGCTAAAGAAGCTAGTCAAGTATTTGTGACAAAAGACGGCGTTGAGAACTCCAAATTTATAGTCATGCAGTCAGAAGTTACGTACAATGTATGCAAATAAACGTGGGTTATATTGAAAATGTTTGAAACGACCAGTGTTTATAGTCATATACACAAAATTCGTGTACAATATATGTAATTAAACATTGGTTATATTGAAACTGTTTGAAAAGATGGACGCATTTTTATTCAGCCAGGATTCACGCACAATATACATGATATATGCAATCATACTTATGAGTTTTGAAGGTTGAATTTATTGCAGGACTCGAGTAGTTCTCAAGTTCTCGTAAGTATTGGAACGATTTATAAGTCACTGACTACACCATATACTAAACTATAATATTATGTTGTTATATACACTATACTATAGTTATATTATATAATGATATTATATAATGATAACAAAAGTAATGATAAAAATAGAATGAGCAATGCTATTCATATATACAGTACGAGGCACACAATTTAAACTCTAGACATCTTCTAAGAATTTAGAGTTAGTTTTTGCCGCTAACTGATTTTATTCTCATGTTTAGTTGACAAGGTTTTTGTCTAGTTGGAATGAAGCGCAGGTAAAGCTTTTTACAGAGATCCCAGAAGAAGGGGTTCTTCAACGCTACCTGTGGCAATACATTGCCCGCAATAAACTTGGGTACAGCATAAGTAATTAATGTTTGATATGGGTTATGATTGAAAAAACTTTCCGTTTTGTTGAAAAAAATGACACTTTTGCGATTTTTTAAATAAAATTTCTGTTTTGCATGTTGAATGTTATTGTGAACTGAGGTAAATTTTTAATGGCTGGAAGAACATATGGCGGGGATAGAATTGCAACCATAGTAATTTTGTAGTTAATTATAATGAAGTAATTTACTTTTGGTGTCCTGTTATAGTATGCAAACAAAAGATACTAATAACTCATTTACCTGAACCATTTTCTTCGCTTGCGTTGTTTGTTTGACAACCTGTACATATATAGTTATTTGATACTTTGCATGGATTTCAAAATTCTGCTTTGTTTACATTTTGGATTTGTTTTGACAATCGATTTCACATTAAGCGCTACTGCCTTTAAACATGATTTAAAACATTATTTAACGCTGTAAAACTAATGCGTGCGACATGTAAAGAAGGGGGGAAACTCGTTATGAGAAATAGTGTCTTAAAAATAAAAGCCTTTTAAATAATCAAATTAATATTGGGTGACACTTTTGTCATGCCTGGTACAACAGAGCTACCTCTTAGTCATTCATACAATAATTATTTAGAGTAGCTTCTCTAGTATTTAATCGCTTTCTTTTAAGAGATGTATTTAAACTTGAGGTTAATCTGTAAATATCACCCGGAAGTTTGACATATACACGAGTCTTTACGTGATATTCGTTTCAGTATCAAAACATGCGCTGGATATAAAAGTGACACTTTGCCAACCAAAGGATATATAGTGAGTGAACAGGTGAAAATAAAAATAAATTTACATTTTGCATTAATTCCTTTCAATTTGATAATTAGTTTGCATAGACAATGAATAACGCATGGAACCAAATGAAATTTCTGTAAATACCTTTTGGTATTTACCTGTAACGTTCAGTTTATAAAAAAGAGTGTGGTAAACTTCATCCTAAACATTTTTCAGTATCAACTGTTGGTCAAACACCATTTTAACAGTCAATCATTTGAAATATAAAACCGATTCAGCTGAACTTGACTTTACAGATATGAGGATAATGTCACCTACAGATATGAAAATAATGAGTGAAATTGTATAACATATTGAGGATATAAAGATATTGTTTTCAGTTTATTGACACTTTTTTTTTAAAATAAAGGGTAGCAAACAGGAATGGAGGTACTCGTATGTTTGATACTGGCATTTATAGCTGAAACAACAGCTGGACCGTGCAATAAGAGATGCGAGTGGTCACCTTGGGAAGGATGGTCCGAGTGTAGCCAAACTTGCGGTGGAGGATATAGAGTAAGATACAGACCTTTTTGCTGCAGGTCCGATTTAGTCCTACGTGCTTGTTTAGCAAATTGTGGAAAGGATATGTCCTTCTATTTAGGTGGACGCGATTCATATGAAAGTTGTATGGACATATGTTATAATGGTGGAATATTTCAGAAATCAAGCAGCGGACAGGGAAATTGTAAATGCGATTTTTTACACGAAGGTTACTGTTGTGAAGGAGGTAAAATTTAATACTAATGAGAATGATGCTTCATTTGTAAATTGAATAACATTTCATTGTGCATGCCTATAAATAGAGACAAAAGGAAACTGATATTTCTAGAAATATGTTTCAATGTTGACAAATAGTTTTACATATTTCGGAATATACTTGTTAAGATTGTATTTGAGCTATAATATTCTAGATTTTGCTTTAAACATAAACTATGTGTTTATAACTTTTATTGATATATATGTATATATATTCATATAATTTTATAACAGCCAAAGGATAGTTTCAAAACCAAACCGTAGCACTATCATGTGTTCACGTATAGATAATATTACGTGTAAAATACGTAACAAAAAAAACAAAAAAAAAACAACAACAAAACAAAAATCCACAAAACAATGATGTATATTTAGCTCATTAACATTATTGCAAACAAACTGTCCCATGAATGAAAGAAAATCATTAATAAAAATTCAGGTTTTAAGATATTACTGATACATTAGTAGACGAAATTGAAAAACGACAGGTTCTTATTATTAATTAGACTTTTGTGAGACAGTTATATGTAGTGTTTCTGTTAAACTGACTGATAAGGTGATACACACTTGCTCAAACAGAAATATGTAGTAACATAGTTTTAAAACATGCAGTACAAATTAAACATGCATTATATAACTGCAATCAATATCTAGTAAGTCTTTTTTATTTAATAGACCTTGATGTTTGGAAAATTGACATGACAAAAATATTGGAATAGCCTTATAAAAAAGCCTTATAGAATCCTACAGAAAGCTGTGGTTATACTGTGCACAATGTACTATAGAAAGACATGATATTAAAAGGAATGTATTCACTTTTCCTACGCTTTAAATTTTACAGCCCAATGCCTCCATATACAACTGACATGCACTGTTTTACAAAATGATTGGTGAAATACAATACCACTTAAACAAATTTTACAAAATAACGGATCGAATAAAACATTTAACAAGTATCTATGAAAGTGACGGTTATTTTTTTGTCCATTTTTCAAAATCACTTCATGTAAATAAGTACAACCCCGACCAAGTTGACAATTACCTTTTTAAAAACTGAAAAATAGCATTTACTCATAAACATTATGTTTGTTTTCAGGTTTATCGATTACATTTGGAGTCTTTTTCAGCTCTAGGACTGACATTTTTTAATTTATGGGCACATCAAGTGTTTTATTGTTTGCATCGTCACCTCAGTGCAGTAACAGGTTAACTCCTATTGTACGGGCTAACCAGGTATTGCAGTAAGGTGGTAGTATTTGTATAAATCTACTCTACATTGATTAAAATAGGTTGCGAGTAAAAACAGATATGTTTAAATTTAAGTAAATCAGGGTTATAAAAAGGTATTAATAAAGTAACATAGAGTAATAAATATAATAAAGTTAAAACGTAGAGTGAAATTAAGAATCCCTAAAGAAAGCCCAACAAGACAAAATTGGAAATGTTGCAGGCTCGGTTAATTTGAGCCTGTTCATGGACGGTAATGGAAAGTGCAAGTTACCATCCACGCCCCCCCCCCCCCTAGCACCAGCTTAAGCAGAATTCAACATTTAACATGAACTGGTACAATTTTGAATTTTGAAACATTCGTAGATGTGTTCATATGGCGGTTATCATGGAATCTTCAATGTGACAATAAGTGTCATTCCATGAAAAGCGGCATATGGTCCCCAAGTAAAAAATGCGTGTGCCCTAAACGAGTAAACAATTGGCGGAACTAAATAAAATGGAATTTTGAAAGGGGATCTGAGGTTATGAAGCCTGCATATCTATAAACCTTTGGAATATGTACATACTCAAAACAAAACAAAATACAGTATCTAAAAACAAAAATTCATAACATTTACAATTGATAGAATGGAAACAACCACATTAGTTTCAAGTGCATTTGTAAAATACATTCACATTCAATTAAATGATTTGCTACTAAATATACACTTTAGCACTGATCAGAACATACTAATTTAAAGTTAATGAAATTTGCTGCAAATACATGTCTCAAATTGCAAATTAAAAGAACGTAATACCAAATTTATGTTACGTTTATGTGAAAGTATTGGTTATAATTGACGTACAAAATGAAACAAGTTGTGGGATGATATTTTATGATGTTTGCTTTTCTTTATTATTCTTTAGTTGTAGTTTTTGTTTGTCTTTGTTGTTTTTTATGTATTAACCAAGGCCGCATAAGTCAGAATTCCCCCTATAATATTTAAAAAATCAATATAACATAAGATTTACAAATTTTCATATTAAATTGATATTAGCCCAAGAATGTGATTCTATCGATGAAAGTACATACATCTTAAACGCTATGGATATCAAATCCAATTCTAACTTAAGAATGTTCTCGCGTTTCATTGCTACCGATATAGTATCCTTTTTAAAACCTATGAAACAAACCTATCTATATGATATGCAACTTGAAAAGAACTTTAACATGCCAAGGATATTTAAATCACTAAAAGGTTTTTTGTGAACAATTTTCTTTTCTGACATTGTGTTTCTTTTCGTATTGAATTTTGACATTCTGAGATCAATAGAATTGGTGAAGCATATTGAATAGTATATCATAATCTCATCGAAACTATTTTAGATAACTGAACATTTATGTGTATTATAAATACATTGTAAAACAAACATTAACAGAAAAGCCTCGCTTAGAACAACCCAGTGGCAGAAGAAGCTGTGATGACATATGCACGTGGTCTTCATGGGAAGAATGGAGCACGTGCTCTGTGTCTTGTGGTGGTGGTGGACATCAACAACGTGAAAGGCATTTATGTTGTCTTGAGGAATACGGCGACTTTCAAAACTGTGCAGAAAGATGTAACAAAGACACTAAGGACCAGGTTGAGGATCGAACCTGTGGAGGTAATTGTTTATATGGTGGAACAATGAAGAAAGGCGATTACGGTTGTCAATGTTTGGACAGGACATTTGGACATTGCTGTGAAGAACGTTCGTATTTTCTTATATTATTTTTTGAAACGGGTAGAATATATTTGTGCAACATATGAAAATAGTATTATAACCTTTTTACTCAATTTTAATTTTAGTGATTAAAACGCAAAATAATGATTGTAGCAGGTGTTAAGTGAATTAGTCATGGAAACTGCTCTGCAGTATCATTGATTACAGTACAGTATGTGTTGAAAATTAAAACATAAAACCTACGCTGCAAGGGCAGGAGGAGGAGAGACAAAGAAAAATAATGTAGAAAGGTGTAACTATTTTATTGTCTTTGTATCATAAACAGATTCAATTAAACCAAAAATGCAAATTAAATCGTTTTACTTATTTGTTTTCATCGCTCTGTAGGGATCTCACTATCATCATGAATTTTACAATGCATTAGGAAAGAGATCTTTTTTTCTAACTTGAAAATTATTTTTCAGTATTATCAGGTTGCACACCCTTTCCAACTGACGTTATATTTGTGTTAGATTCGTCAACAAGTCAATCGAAAGACGAGTTTCGTCAACAGCTCGATTTTGTATTAAATTTCATTGATCAAGTTAACATTAGCAAAGAAGAATTTCAAATCGCGATAGTAACATTTTCATTCGAGGCGAAAATAGAAATTAATTTTAATCAATCTACAAATAAAAACAATCTTCGAGATGCAATAACTAAAATTTCATTCAGACCGGGTGCTACCTTTACAAACAAAGGGCTAAATGCAGCATTAAACGTTGCAAGACAAAGTGAAAGACGAAAAGGGATGGTGACACTCACGTATGCATTTGTTCTGACCGATGGAATGTCAACTAAACGACAGGATACACGTTTAGCAGCAAAGGCATTGAGGGACCATAATGTTCACGTTGTTGCAATAGGTACGTTTAAAGTAGATTTTGATTTCTGTCCTAATTGAAATGTCTGCCATTGGTAAACTATAATCAAAATAAATGAATAGTGTATGTTTGCTAAGAATCTAAAAAAATAAACTTAAACTTAGTTAACGTAAATCAAATGATACTTTCTCAATATTTGTAATCATGTCTTTCGAATTATCTCTAAAGAATGAGCACCTTCATGCTTAAATCACTTTCAACCAACGTATGATATATTAACGTTATTGTTTAAAAAAAGAAAGATAATTTATACTTAAATTCTTAAATAAATGTTTTCGAGGAATCTGCCACTTTACAGTAGTTTAATTAATTAAAGTGCACATATAATCTTCTATTTAAAATAAGAAATAAAATATCATTTATTATCCCCCGCCTTTTCGAAGAAAAAATGGGGATATAGAAATAGGCTATGTCCGTCTGTCCGGGCGAACATCCTATGGTATATGAGCTTCATTCCGTCCATAAATTAAGTTAAAAAAAGTAGGAAATCCCATAAACTGACTGGTTAATCTGGTAATTGTACTGGTTTATGGGGAAAAATGCCACATAAAGATCAAAGAAAGAGCACATAAACCAAAATTGTTGGCACTTCCGTCCTCCGTCCGTTTGTTCGTCCGTCCGTCCGTCACACGTTCGTGTCCGGTCCATAACTTTATCAAAGGAATTTGAAATAACTTGGCAAAAATGTTTGTTATAATAATAAGATGTATCATGCGCAACAACCATACACCTACATTCAGGGTCAATGTCGCACTTGCTCAACCAAGATCAACATTGTCTATTTTAGGGTATATGTCGTGTCCGGTCCATAACCTTCTTATCTTTGAAGGGATTTTGTAAATACTTGCCACAATTGTTTACAATAATGAGACGATGTGTCTTGCGCAAAACCGGTCACCTACCTTCAAGGTCAAGGTCACGCTTGGAGGTCAAAGATTGTCTTTTATATATTTTGTGTCCGATCCTAACTTTTTCTTAGATCAAAGGATTTTGCAAATACTTGGCATAAATAGTCACTATAATACGATGATATGTCATGCACAATACCTGCATCCCTACCTACAACGTCAAGGTGTCTCTTAGAGGTCAAAATTAAAATTGTCTGTTTTAGGGTACATTTTGTGTCCGATCTAGAACTTCTTCATAGTTCAAGGGATTTTGAAATAACTTGGCACAAATAGTCACAATAATAAGACGATGTATAAAGTACAACACTTGCATCCCTACCTCCAAGGTCAAGGTCACACTTAGAGTTCAAATGTTATCAGAGTCTGTTATATGGTTTATTTTGTGTCTGGCCCATACCTTCTTCATAGATCAAGGGATTTTAAAAATACTTGGCACAAATAGTCATAATGATAATATGATATGTCATGCGCAACACCTGTATCCCTACGTCCAAGGTCAAGGTCACACTTAGAGGTCAAAGATTTACCCAGTCTGTTATAGGGTATATTTTGTGTCCAGTCTATAACTTTTTCATAGATCAAGGGGTTTTAAGAATAATTTGCACAAATAAACACAATATTAAGACGATATGTCAGGCTCAAAACATGGGTATCACACTAAGAGGTCAAAGATTAACTTAGTCTGTTATAGGGTATATTTTGTGTCCGATCTATAACTTCTTCATAGTTCAAGGGATTTTGAAAATACTTGACACAAAAAATAACAATAATAAGACGATATGTCATGCACAACACTTTCATCCCTACCTCTAAGGTCAAGGTCATACTTAGAGGTCAAAGATTAACATGATGGATTTTTAAAGTCCGTGTTTCATTTTATTTTTTAATAAATTTGTTGTAGCATTTGCAGATCTAGCATCGATCATAATTTTGCACTGAAAGTCCTGAGATCCATACCTCAATCTTTTGAAACAGCGCACTTTTGTGCTTCATTTAAAACTTCCCTGAGGCGGGGGACGTTGGTAACTCTGTTACAAATTCTTGTTTGTATAGTTGTATGCTTAAAGTAACTGTTACCAATATATCTTCATTTTCAAAGGGATAGGAAAGGAGGTGTCACACAAAGAACTGATAGATATTGCATCACCTGGAGACCAACATAGCCCGTCTTACGTTTTTTCTGTCGGCGACTTTAATGCACTGAATACCTTACTGAAACAGCTCGTCGATATTACCTGTGATGACTGCAGTGCAGTTAGCCATTTTTCAAATGTCCTGTTTCTTCTGGATGAAAGTCATGACATGTCTGAAAATGAGTTTGAAATATCAGTAGATATACTAACATCAATTGTGACAAATACTGATCATGTAGGTGAAAATAATGGTCCGGCTTTTGGATTGTTTCAATTTGGCGATGCATTAAAGAATGTGATAAAACTATCGAATCACCAGTCACAAAGTGGACTGACTCTGAATCTAAGAGTCTTACGCCGGACGAGAAGTGATGCTTGTAGTAAAGATGAACAATGCAATGAAATGAACATGACAAATGCGATAGGTCAAATCGTTAAAAACTCCTACAACATCTCCGGAAGAGATAATGCTAGAAACTTCCTCATTGTTCTATCTAATGGTCACTTTGAAAAGCCAAGTATGATCAAAAACGAAATAGCAAATATCAAGGAATTAGCTGATGTTAAGGTTTTTGTGGTTGGAATAGGATCTGATATCCATATGGATGGATTGTTAGCCCTGACTAAAGAAGCAAGTCATGTTTTTGTAACTGAGGACAATCGTGATCACTCAAATTTAATTGTAATGCAATCAGAATTTAAGTACAACATTTGCTTAAAGCATTGAGAATACTGGTGAATTCCATTTAACATTTTTGTGTCTTTTGTTTTTGTATATTGTTAAGTTTTGCTCTGTAGTTTGACCTTTGACAATATGTTATTTACTACGATAAAAAGATTGTTCTCTTACGCGATATTAAATAATAAGCTATGTTACCTGACATTGATATTGTCTTGCATCCTTTTATTTGTTAAAGTATGGTTCTTATGAGTACACAAATGTTTATATTTAACCCTCTCCTTATCTTGATTGGTTTTATTCTAAAGTATATTAGATAAGCGGTATTACATGTCGTTATCATTAGGATTGGTTTAATTTTATCAAGTTTAATCAGCATGCCTTCCTCTTTTTATTTTGATCCGTTTCATTTTATCAAATTTAGGCGGCATTGTTGTCTTTTTTATTTTTGGTAAGTTCAATTGTATCAAGTTTAAGCGACATTGCATCCTCTTTTTAGTTTGATTTGTTTAATGCGGTTGTTTGGTATATTTTTATCACATTTTATGTTAGATGTATTTTACAACATTCTCGTTTATGATGTTTTATTTTCATGTTTTTTTCCTGCTTTTCTTCTGACGTTTCAATAATTATATGCAGGCCGCGTTTAATATTTATTAATAATAACATTATTATAGGTTCTTTTCAAATAAAGTCGAAAAATACGTTGCTATTTTTTTTTAAAAAGTTATGTCGGTCGAATATTAAACAAACTACAACTATTAAAAGTATGCCCTAAACTTCATAATGATTGTCCATTTGGGAAAGTTATAGAATTAATTTCAGCAATAACAGGGAAATTTCTTTTGTATATTGAACATCAAAGAACAATCTGCCGTTTAAGGTCAAGCAAGGGCTTGTTTACATGTTGAATTGCATTTTGAATAGTTTAAATCGTCGTTTTGTCAAATCTTACTTTAAATCTTATTATCATCAGAATGATTATATTATTTTCCCTGCAACTGAGGAATGAATGAATAAAAGAATGTTCGTCGCGCATTCAATTCTGTTTCTGTGTTTCTTGCCGTTAGGGTTGGGTGTAAATATATTTGGCATTAGTCTTAATTGAAATGAACTAATTTCCCCCTGTAACTGTAAAGATATTGTAAACAAAACATTTTACAAACGTGTAATCCACTTGAAAGTACTTTGTAAATTAAACTTCATAAACAAATACATTGCTGATTCTTTTTATCGCATGTGTGTTCTTGCAAGTAATACAATATTTAATACTACGTTGTGTTTGAAAGGAACCCAACTGAGGTCCCAAAAGCCGAAAAGCATAAAATTTGAATTTCTTTCTCAGATCAGCCGGGGGACACAAGAACCGAAATACATGTAGAAGATAACAAAGAAATAATCTTAGAAATAAATTGTAAATCATATTTTGAGCTATAATTATCCCTTATTGAATGAAAAGCCTTGCGACCCCTTTCAATTTATGTCATTTTTGCAATTAAAATAACTATTTCGTGTAAAGCGAGTAAGGGAATGATCTGAATTTTTGAACAAACATTAATTAGCTTGTTTAATTAGGTTGTTTACATAAATGTATAAGGTTGTTTACATACACGTTTTAGATTTTCTAGATGATATGACAGTGATCACATGAAAAGAGTCTACCATAGAAGACAATTGTAAAATGAGAGACAGTATATTAAAAGTGTCTCTTTTGTTTTCTGCTATTATATATATTTTATAAATACTGCAACTATCTAAAATATTTTTTTTGTTTTGGTTGATTGTAATACAAATTTATAGCCTGTTTCAGTTTAAATAATTTTCTTTAGAGAACAATTTGCATTTTATGCTGTTCTTGTCATTGAGTTAATCAGTATAATCTCTGAATGATGTTTTTTATGTAAAGCTGATTTAGTTCTATTTCCAAATAATGAATTCATGTTCGATAATTAACTTAACATTTAACGCATAAAAGATTTTAAGTAAAACTTTAAAATGTGAAAGTAAGTGATTGAGATAATCTTTCTGGCTTTACTGAAATAAAAAGGTATCAGCAATAGAAGTAGCAAGACTATTACATGTATTATATTTTGAAGTTACTTTTCTTAACGTTCCAAACATTTCTGAGCAAAATTTATATGCTTTAAGGAATAATCTAAAATTATAGTAAAGTTACTGACATTTCTAATTTTAACAACCTGGTGCCACATAAGAATCACTGAACATACTTTATCTAAAATGCAAATGCTTTGCAAGTCCCTTAATTAATCATTGAAATACGTTTTTTTCAACTTTTTAAAAAGTGTATCATGACTCATTTTATGACCAATCGTTTGCCAAAGCAATACATAATATACAAAATAATGTTAAAAATACATTTATAACCATGCCGTTAACTTATATGTTTCTTTTAAATATTATCAATGATCTGCTAAAAGTTATCATGAATATTGACATTTTTCTGAAGATCAATAATTGATAAATAATCCAATATGTGTCATATTACATCACATGTTTTAATCTAATCATTTGCCAACAAAAGGAGATTACTATCGATTTAACAAGGTTTATTGCCATACCTAATACTTTGTACTTTTTAGTACATTTTCCATGTATCTATGATAACAGAATAATCCGGCTTTGAAAATACATTCTTTACTAATAAAATAGAATTATTGTTATTCTAAATGTCACAGACTTTTGCAGACTAACAGATAATAACTTTGCCTTTTATCTGCAATGTCATCTTTTCATTATTTTAGAAATTGCCATATGTATCATGTGTTTCTAATAAATTAATATCAGATGTATACAATTATTGTAGTTTATCAAATTTAACAATTAAGAAAATCTTAAACGTTTCCCTGCTCATTTACTATTACTTTTAAAACAAAAACCTCGATTTAATACAAAATCGCATATTCATGCCCGAGATATTTCTTTTAAGATTATAATTCTCATGCCACTACGATATGTGACTCCAAAGTAACGCACAAATGCCTGCGGTTTATTTCTATATTTTAGAGATAATTTTGCAATTATTTTTTATGTTTAAGTAATTCAACAATGTCTTTTTAGGACTTCTTTAAAAATGATCATAGATAGAAACAGTAATGTTGTTAAACATAAAACTGTACATGCATTCCTAACAAATAAACTCAACAGAATATCTTAAGGACCATGGGGAATATGGAAACATTTGCCTCCCTTATATGTTAGAATGTTTAATCACTTCATATATTTAAAGACACTATTTACTTGCTCTGTATTGTAATGAAATCTTTTTATTTAACCCTTTTTTAAATTTCACTTGTTTTTTTTATGATTCAAAAATATTCAAGTCCTCATTTCATATTTTCTGTTTTTTATTTCAAAAAAGTAAAAAACTGTTTGAAGACTTAATAAGCCCTCAGAAATGGGTATTTAATTTTTTTTTTTTTGTAGATTGAGCAGATATGTTATTATATTATGTTGTTACAATACTTACGTGAATGTTCTATCTGATTTACCTTTCAAAAGAAGATTAAGGTTATAAATTGAAAATTCCTTCTTATACCAGACTAAACATTAAGGAAAGGATTGATCTCTCGTGACCTTAATCTTGATTGAATTATGAATTAACAGTTTTCACAAAGCTTCTGTTGTCTTGGAATTAAGCAAAACAATATATAGAGGATATTGAATAAGTGTAGATTCAATACTGAATTTTTTGAACGAGTTTGAAACGAGTTGAAATAACATTATATAATGAACGTCTGTGGCAAGCAGGATATTACTTTAGTTGATGAGTTCAAAATTTTAAGTTATGCAGCTATACGAATTTAATATTCTATTTAATATCACATATCTAAAAATATGATTTTTTTAACGGCAAAAGGGATATTTTTTCTTCATTGACGCGCTAACATTTAGCGCTCCTTTTGCTATGTATTGTAATGAACGTCACGTCAAAAAATATATATAGGGACATGCAATACTGTTTTATTTTGAGACAAAGTAGCACGGATATTTGATATACGTATATTATAAGGAAATGAGTTTTAAAAATATTCATGCAACTTAAAATCGTTTTTGTTCCAAAAACAAATGCTTATTTTTCCTTAAATTTTTTGGTAAATAAAACATTATATAAAACCTTACAGTTTAAATGACTATCGACATCCCTCCTACATTTCTTATCAAATATTTGCATTGAACAAGAATAAACAAGATTTTCCCTGATATTTGTCTTCGTTTATCTAATTATCAAATGACGTCAAAAGACAGGACACACACTAAATGGAATATTTTAAAACGCAAGAATAGAATAAGAAACATGTTGTTATAGTATAAGCCATAGCTGTTTGTTAAAGGTACACTGTGCTTTACAACAGCAGGAGTCAAGTTCCGTGTGGTAGTGTGAAAAGTTTCCCCGTACTTTAACCTTCAGTGTTATATTTTCTAGTTTTTCGGGATCATTGATTCCTATACATTAAGTGTGCTAAGGGGTGTAAGTGTATGGCTCTTTTCCAGTATCCCTGAACAAGTCTGCAATTGCCATGTGATTTTGTTGTTCCCATTGCTTCTAAGGGATTTTCCCTTTTCCAGATTTTTGCCATGTTTTTTTATTCATTATTCATCTTTTAACTGATAATCATATAAGTATATACCAAAATTGCATAAAAATTATTTGGATTATTGCAGCTGCCGTATGTGTATATGAATCATACCAACGGCTGGTCTGTATAATAAAAATCGTCGTTACAAACGTGCAGTATTAATATTCCTGTGATATATCATTCAGTAAGAAATTAAATTAAAATAAAAAAGTCTAAGAATATATATATCCCAATTGTTCAGATACTTGTAATCAATTTGAATTAAGAATCCTTATATAATTACAGGCGGCTTCGTGAAAAAACGTTTCATGTATTTATTTTTTATTCAGTGTTGGAATTGAACTGTTTTTTTACCTTATAACTATCATTTGTCTGTTCTGCTTGTCACAGAGCCAAATTATATCTCCTTTTGATAATTGACGATAAGTTAAAAAGAATTATTGTCTTACAACAGTGCAGAACATAGCTTCAATATATAATTCAACATTGCATTTATTTGCATTACATATTTGAATATGTTTCAAGCATTTTCAATTTACTGAAAGAAATGTGTTCCATTTCCAAGACAAACATGTTGTTGGAAAGCATTCTTCACAAAAAAGCAAAGCGCTTATTTTCTAAGAATAGAAATAATTGACAATGTTGCCAATAAACATACTTATTTGCTTGTTTTGTTATTTCCGAACTTGTCATGTGTGTCATCAGGTGGTATTTTCTAAAGTGCAGGCGGTAAAGGAAAGAGTGCATTGATTAAAATGCCATGAATGAAATGGTATCATAAATTATAAATAAAACATGTTGCTTATAAAAGTGTATTGTGAATACAGTAAACGATTTGTAATGTCATACGTGGCCTGTTTGCAACATAAATATTGAATATTTTATACAAATAATGCGTGATTCAAATGCCATTTAGTGCTGGGTAATATGATGTAAAGTGCATTTGGGAGGCACCATGATGTAAATTGCTTCGTTGTCAAACAGTTCGTTTTATAACAGAAAACATTACATTTGAATAGTTATTTTCATATCTATGTACATTTAAAATTGATTGGTGTACAGTGAGCCCATTTTCTAAAAATATTTCATATCTTGATGAGATTAATAAAAATGTATCATTTGGATACTGTAAATATTTAGTATGAACACTTATATGAATTATAATATTCTTTTTGTTCTAGGAGATTCTGCCATATGAATAGATGTAATGTCGGATCGCGAATCTCACACTCAGTATGTTCATCAATGCAATATAACGTCAC